CTTTGATTTCTGCATGATGCCAAATCAAACTGCCTCTCGGTAATCTTTTCTCGGAGAAGGTCCAGGCCAAACTCCTCACACCTGGGCAAACCGCACGCTACCAGGAGCAAAGGGCATCGCTACTAGGAGCAAGGACGCTACTAGGGCTCCTGGCCTGACTACTAGGAACAAGAAGCTACTAGGAGCAAGCTGAGCATATTGCATGTGACTCATGCTGCTGGAGAGTATTCGAGGGCATATCGGCCCCAATGTTTCCAGGGGTGCGCCAAGCAAGAGGATGCAAGCTTAATTACAAAATTACATATGGAAACACACATCTTTACAGGGCATGGAACTCGGATCTTTCCGCTTGCACGACAGCAGGACAGAACGTCTTGAGACTTGATACTTTCAATGCATCTCATCTCAGACTTAGACGTGACCAGTCTCTCCAGAACGTTCTCTGTGGTCAGGCCAGTGGCGAGCCATCTGGCCTAAACCATATGCCACATGCCACGTCAGAGTAGCTCAAACTCGAACAGCCAGTGGACTAGCTGAGGGCAGAGGCTACCTGAGGCGCAAGCTGCATGCTCGTGCAAATGACTGAAGCCAAAATGGCGCGCCAGCCGAAGCACATCTTTGTTTACCTCCACATCCGTCAAGCCATAGGTGCAAATCATCAAACGATCGCATCAAACAGTAAGAATCCTCAAAGCACCCGGAAGTTCAAATCTGGCGCCTCTGCACTTGTCGCGCTGTACTGCCAATCTGCCTTTCGATGTTTGAGTGGTCTGCTGCAAGCTGGAGTTCAGATCTGAGTATCCTGAGACCTAACCATATTATGCATAAAAATATATACAAACATACGCCTGTCAGAACCCTAGGCTGAAATAGCAAAGACTACTTTGTGAAAACCTCCTTACTTTGATGGAAGAGTTTTGCGAGAGGCATTATCTATCTGTATGAATGGGGCTTCATAGTCGCTACAAGATTGCAACATACAACTCTGCAGGCAAAATTCATCTTGTACGTTTGATTCAAACTTCCAAGGCGTGCAATAGGTTCCTGTAAAGCCACCCCGGCCGCACTCATGTTTGCGACTATGATGACTTGGCCAGAGCATTGGAGGCATATCCTCCTGTATCTGTTTTCTTGCAACTTTGGTCTATATACATACTGTACAAAGTGCCCACACTTCAATTAGCCAGCTCTTCTTTAAACCTCTATATAATCGATTACTTCACGAGTCTGCAACTATATATCTGCGATTATAAGTATACAGTACCTACAGTGCAAACATGTCAAGCTCGTGTTCTATTGTCAAACCAACCACACTGATTCAGAGATCACAAGTGATCACAATGTCAGAGCGATTCATGTGATGCTTTTGTCATGCTTTTGTCCGGTGAGTGGGTCTTCCAAGTGTCTCTTTTCACATCTGTATCACTCAGGCAATTTGACAGACAATGCATCATGAATATCTTGGATGACATTGTCCCATGTCTTGAAGAAACCACAGGTACAATAGTGATAGCCATACGCAGAGTGTAATAAAGAAGCATGAATGATGAAACCTTGGAAACGTCGAAAACCATGTACAGTCCCTCGACGTTGAAGAGCTTGAGCATTCAGAAGCTCTGGACGTTCGCTTGTCTTTCTGCCGGACTTAGGCGAATGCTCCACCAAATCCTTTGTAGACGTAATCCAGGAGAATGTGCATGGCCTGAAACTGTGGAACAACCTCTCTCTGATAGACTGAGCACCTTTCGTGTGCCCACCTCTGCTGAAGACAAGCCCTTTACATCGAGGCGCCTTTTCTCATTTCTTTTGGCCTCAGCACCGAGATCCAACTTTGAGCAGAAGTCGAGACAGTTCCAGCCAAAGACAGACCGGCTTGTCAGCTTGTTCACTTCATTTCACTTCCTTCAGTTGTAGTGTGCCTGACTGTCGGAGGATGATTCTGTCTCTCCTGCTGACCTCAATCATCTGGATGATGAAAGCGGAATAATAGTGCAGTTCAGAAGGAAACAGGTAAGGTAAAGCGCCCTTTAAAGGGGGGCCTTACCTTACTTTTCAACAAATACATTTCCTCTCAAACACTGCTGCAAAATCACACACGTCTGCAATGTCTGTACTCTTCCAAGTTCCCAGCGGTGCATTTTCTTTCGATGTGTCGGTGTCCACCTCACCAAATCCATTGAACCAAGTGTTAGTAAATAACCTATGCTAATGACCAAGTCTCAACCTAAGAGCGATGGCCTCTAACCTAATAGTAACAATAAGAAGAACTGTCTTCATTCTCAAAAAAAAAAGTCGCGTCTCATTCGGCCTGCTCGCTTGGCTGCTTTTCTTCGGCCTGACCTGCATTGCGACAGCAGTCAATACCTATACAAATAGAAGGTCGAAGGCCGTCCATCACACATGTGGGGTATTGTCTGTGCTTCTGTTTGATGTTGTGGGACATGTACCTTTGCCACACACCTTCGCATTTGCAGCTAAGGATTCTGCCGCTTTTGGGGGAAGCATCTGGCTGAGCCTGAGCATTTCAAGCCAAGCTGACATGGTTTCACATAAAGGAAAGGCCGCCACCACCGGCACACGTGCTTGAACTGCAAGTAGCTCCTGCAAGTAGGACAAACAGTGTCCAGGTTCAAGCGACCATGCAGATGCAGACCAACACCAGCCTCCATTACTTTTGGACTATCACATGCAGCCTCTTGACGCATGCTCAGTCCAAGCCTCATGTGCAGCAAGTGCTTCTCTCTTTCATTCTGATATGTTGAAATGCATAAAGTGCCTCATACATCAAGCACCATATCTCAACTCTCATCTTCCCAAGGTGCAAACGAAGGATTCTGTCTCAAGAAGGTGCAGAAACTGGCACTGCTTGCAGCCAGAACTACCTCAATTGACACTGAAGCTTTCTGTTTAAGCCAAAACATATATAGAGTCATAGAGGCCACAAAGAACGAACTGGGCTTGTGGGATAGGGCGTTGGCAGCATGAGCTTCAATGTCCTCCTCACCCGCCACAAAGACAAGGTCGCAGCCTGAAGCAATCACGACAATACGACGCCTCCTAGCAACATCGCTTGCATTCTGTCAAGTTGACAGCACACATGATGGACAAAATTAAGAAGGGAACATTCTTTGTTTGCCAGAAGGGATCGCAGTCCTCACGGAAATTGAAAAAGCTGAAATGCTTCTCGAAGTACAGGAAAGTAACTTCGTGCTATTTGGGTCCAAAGAAAACAAAAACTGTTCTTCCAGTGCCTCTCAAGCTTTTCTGGTCGTCCTGCGTTGAACTCCTGAGGAGCAGCTCCACAACATTTGACGTCAAGATCCATGGGCACAGCACCTTTCGTCAGAACGGTTCTTTGATGCTTGAATTTTGCAGGTGTTCAACTTTCATCAAATTTAAAGAGCCAGTCTTGCACCATTGATCAGGTTTCTCGTTTGGGGAGCGCAAAGAACTCAACGTGTTGGCCTGCCACCGCTCTGCAACTCACCGTTTCCTCTTGTGGACGGTACATGACTCGACGGTACAATGTATGCCTCTGGAAGGATGAAGTAGTTTCCGAATGGAGCCGTGCTTTTGGCGGGGCACCATGTCTTTTGTCAAGATCCGAATGTATGCGGACGGTTCCCTTCAAGAGCCTAATAGAAGCAACTAAGCAACACACTGACCAACCTGAACACAAACAAGATTCCAATCTGCCGTCTGTCCAGTTTTTTGAGTAAGTAACCGAATCTCCCAACTCTTCACTCCCGAACTGGGACAAAATACATCATAGAAGAATGACCGACTCAGCCCAGCTTGCAAAGGCATGGAGTAGTACAAGTATTGCTCATGTCACATGCTTATTTGGAACAAAACTCAAAACAAATCTTTAAAATATTCAAGTCTTTGGTCCAGGTTGTCTTAGTTCCATGATTTCCAGGTGTGGTCAGGAAGGGTTGTCAGCACCCCCCCCGCCCATAACACAACAAACAAAACAAACTCAGTCATCAAACTATTGTCAAGCAAACATGAGACAGAATACTTTCAAGCACAGGTGCGGCATTGCTAGATAAATCGAACACTGTCTCAAGTGCCATGCACATTGGGTTGTTCTTAAACGCAAGAGTCTCTGGGCTTTCTTCAAAAACCCTTGCATGATCCTTCTGTTTTGTGCCAGACAATGTCAGGGGTAAACGTCCACTAAACAGCCCTGCCATGTGCCCTTTAGGCCTTTGACATGTCTTCGCAGTCCTTCCTCTTGAGGAGTTCCCATAAGTTCCCTAATTTGCACCTAACTGCGGGACGGCAGCTGCCATCTTTTCTGCCTCCACAAACTTGGCAGTGTTTTTTCCAAAAAGACGAAAGGACGCAGAAGAACATGCTCAAAAAACATTGAGGAAGAAACATGCATCCATGGCCTCCGCTGCCTCAGCCCTCCGGCTGTGCACATGCTGTGGCGTTCCCCACCTCGACTTCTGGTCAGCCACAGGCTGTTGGTTAAAACTTTGTGATGTTGCACGGTTCAAAAAAATGCCCAAAGCAACTTCGCCAAAGGTCAAACTAAAGGTGCCGGCCACATATAGCTGTGAAGCGCCTTCAGTGTTGTGCCTACAAGTCATGGGTGCTGCGAGCATCGACACACTGCCAAAAATATGATATGATTGGAGCAAGCCACCTCCAAAGGTCCGGCTCACTCTTCTTCCCTAAAGCTTTGGCCAAATTGCAGAGGAGACTTCAAGAGTCTGAGACTGCAGTGTCCTATGATGCTCACTGATGCTCAATAAAGAAAGATACCAGCCAAATATGGTAAACATACTTGATGAAACTTGATGAGACGCGACATTTCTTCGCGCACTATGCCCTATGCCTTTCATGGCAACGACGGTCATACCGTCCACTGCACAAAGGCCGATTGGCGGTCCTTTGTGAGAGGCTTAAGCAGGCGTAAGGCCCTTAAAGATTGTGTCTTAAAAGATGTGAGGCACGTCTGGTGCATGCGTCACAAGCAGCTCTGGGCGAACTTATTTCTCGCGTATCTTGACATCAAACTTTTCTGCGGCAGCCTGAGCAGCATGCGGCAGAAATGAACAAGTTATATGTGCGGCGGCATTTTTGTGGTACTAAACTCAAAAACACTATCTATTGTGTGGGGGCCCTATCTCGTTTAGACTACTTACGTAGGAGGTCATGTTACAGTATCTCGTTCAAACTACTTTAGTAGCAGTTCACACTATCTCGTTCAGACTACTTTAGTGTCATCAAACAAAAGTATCTCGTCTATGTGGGGGGCCCTATCAGCGAATACTGATGATAGACAAGCAAATGGAGCATGCCGTAGACTACTTTAGTAAAGCCTAAATGAAAGTGGTTGCTCATATCATATCGAATCATCAAACGCATGCTTCACAAGAAAGCCTGTCAGCAGCCAAATACAATTATGTTACTTGGTGATTCAAACAGCCAAATACAATTATGTTACTTAGACTTGGTGATTCAAGAAGTTCGCAGCCAAGGTCTGCTAGAGCGTATCAGGGCAAGCCCCCCAAACTGTCCTAAGCATGTTTGAAAATGTATGCCCGCTGGCATATCTGTTCTCTCCTGGAGGTTCTTAGTGGAGCCCACAGCACAGTGCGGATGCTTGAATATGCGAAAGTGTCTAGGGAAACGTGAATGGAATCTAAGAGAACACAAACCTGGCGATCTAGGTGAGACCAACTATATGGATTTATCCGATAGAACTCTGTACAGTACCAGGCAGAATCTAACCCCTTGAAGAATCGGGCACCAGCTTGGAACTGATTTGTCGAACTTTGATGCGAGCAGGCCTTCGGAATGAATGCACAATAAAGTCTGAATGGAGGTCAAAGGAAGCTCTGAAGAGTCAGAGGAAGGTTAAAGGACCTTTCAAGAGTAAAGTTGGGTCCATTCGGTTTGGAAGCAAAATGTGCTGTGGAATTTCATGTGACCATTGCTTTTGAATCCTTTTCAATCGGGAGTGCATTCGGAGGAGACAGAGAGATCAGAGAGCATCTCTTATCTGAAGTGAGATGAGAAGTTTCATCCTGAAGGTCAACTCTCAAGCTTCTGGAAACTTGGAGGGAGCTCTGCCATCGTATCCTGAGCACTGACCTGAGCTCTATGCAAGAGCACCAGAGACCCGGGAGAACTTGTAGAGCTGTGTTTTAGTTTTGTTGACATTGAAACTAAATCCGCGGAGGACAGTGTGACAGTGTGCCTATGGAAATGATGATGAGCAATGCATTTCGTGAAGGAAAGCAAGTCAATATAAATCTTGACATGCAAGGATTCCAACCACTGTAAAGAGCGCCAGCCCACAACCCGAACTCTCGGCCCAAAGCGTGCATCAAACCTAAAAAGCCGTGCAGGATCGTGCAGGTCTTACAGCCGCGACTGCGACTCAACCGACTTGTCAAGGCCGATTCAAAGTGGTGACAGCTGCTGACATTCCAAAGTGTTCAGCGTGGCATCTCAGCCACTTTGGAGTTCATGTCGTTGCTGCGGGGGTGGGAGTGTTATGAGAAGCTAAACAAAGTCAAAGGCCTTTGGTGCGTTCACAGTTTTAGGCTAAGGGAAGAATCGAAGGAAGAGGTTCTGAGTCTTGAATGTGTTGGACTAGTTTTGAATTGTGCTGCAACAACATAGACTCAAAATCTGTAATTCTGGGGGGTATTGTTGGCCAAGCCTGTGCCAACTCACTTGCCGTCTGCCGAACCCAGCTCTGGATGCCTATGACCTGAACAGGTCCATTGCATTTGAACTGCTAGGAAGTATATACTAGTAGCGTCCTTGCTCCTAGTAGTGATGCCCTTTTCTCCTAGTATAGCTTCTTGTTCTATTTATCATACCGCTGGTGCATGAACAGAACTCGCCTGATCTAAGCCAGCAGTCTCTATGGCATTTGTGACAATATCCTCGCAACGCGGGAAAACTTCAATTCGCCGATGAGACTTATTTGAGCTGTATCAAAATCCTATGATGGCGGTTTAACCCAGTCCAGAGAGAGCTCGCGAAGTTCCTTCACAAAGCAGCTGTGAAAGTGCTGTGACTGTTGGGTTTGAGTCACCTTGAGGTCAAGAGTTTCGCCAGCTCTCAGAACCACCCTGCGACTGATTGAAGTCCTCCACGGAACATGACACACAAGCATCTCCGGAAGACATTCAAGTCCAAATCATCAGAACTTAGTAACAAGTCCATCGCTACTAGTAACAATTGCATCGCTACTACATGCTACTAGTAACAAGTGCATTACTACTAGTGGCAAGAAGCTACTACTAGCGATGCCCTTGTTACTAGTACGAGTAGCTGTATTCCATCCTCATGCCATGGATCATCTTGGCTGCTTCGTCTGGATCCTTTAACCTGTCAGGTCAGACATGGTTAAAGCGCTTTTGGGGTCAGCTCCCTTACGACCCTCATGACATGGCGATGACCAATGCGGGGGGTGCTCGACCTTTGTCCAACGAATGCAGCAATTGTGAACATTGAAATCCAAGCCACTGCAGGTATCTACTCCCACGATTGACTGTTTGATCTCACATCTATCTGCATCAGGCATCCATCTGCATCTATCGGAAAACTGCATGTCCATCCTTGTGGTTGTGCCATGTTGTTTGTGCCCGCTCACCGTGAAGATCTCGCATCCCGCTGCTTCCAGCTGCTTGCAAATCATACCGACCACTTGAATGTAGCATTTCTTGGCTAAACAGTTTACCCAGGAGGACCATTCCATGATTCTGTCGGTGATACGAAGAGTCTCACATGCTGGGGATCTTGTTGTGTCCATGAGGATTTGAGCTCCTGCTAGATCTTTCAGCTGAAAACTCTGTCTGCAAAAACATTTGATATTTTCGGTGAATCAAATTGCTGGCAACTGGCAACCAACCGGCGTCTCTGTCGACTAGCCTGCTTGGCAGCTCCTGTTTGTCTGACTGGTCACCGTTCACTTTGTTGAACCTGTGACACAATCTGAAGCTTTGTGAATTAGGCGACAGCAGGTGCTATTTTGTTGGCTCAGATTCCACATGATTCCTTTTATTCAGAGTTGTTCACTGTTCTTCCAATTCCAAAAATGGCCTTTGGGAAGAGTTTCTCACCAGGTCCTGGAACCGAGAAGGAGTGAGAAGGAGCGTATCAACTCTGAGTCAGTCACCGGTTCTTTGACCAAGTGCATTGAAATATCTTCAAAAAAAGGAACTAAAAGGTGTCCATAAAAGCTCTATCATGTACCTCCTTTGTGTGTATCGGATCTATATAAATGTATTCTATATGTTTGAATATTCCCCGTTCTATAGCTGATTGTCGTGTCCCGTCCTGTCCGCGCTGGATGTCACTCTCTTCCAGCTCGTCCTCAATGGTTGGATCCACATTTTCCTTGGCTAAGTTTGACAGCCATTGCCAGGCCACTGACGGAGTAATTCCCTCAAACAGCGTCAGAGTGCTTGCAAAATCAAGCTGCTGAGCCAATTAAGCATTTTGCAGTTTACAGACCTACCGTTGTTCCTTTGAACATCTGCACATGTCAAAATAAGCCTTTGGCAAAGCGGGCCCAATCACCTTCTGGAGGGGCAAAAGCCATCACCTTCGAGAAAGCTAACTTGAAGACGTTGTCAACCTACAGAATTGCATTGCCTTCTTGCCAAAGGTGTTGTTCATCTTGTGCACGTAGCGGTACGCACACATACGGTGTTGCAAAGTGAGCTGTGGGGTCATCTCCAGGAAAGCCTTCAGACAGAATTGCGGGAGTATCCGGCTCAGTTGAAAGAACAAAAGGCGCCTGCAACGTTTTTGCATGGATCAGGAGAGAATTCACATCCTCCTCTGATGCCTGATGACTGAAACGGTGACTTGCTCTGATATGATTGATTCCAATAAGCCTCCAATATTTTGACAGAGCCCGAAGCAAGCGCAGAGTCCACCTGCTACGTTCATGCTAAATTCACTTCCAGGCCGGCTGATGCGTTAGCATATGACCTCCTCCGAAGTTGAGCAAGTGGTCAAGCTTGTTGGCCTGCAAGCATGCATGCAATTCAGTCCCATTTGATGCAAAGATCAAGTTGCTTGGAAGACAAACTACGAATGGGGCTTGATCTTTGGTCCGCGACTTCTAGCTTAAACTTGCCTGGCGCATTTGTCGCATCGCACTGCGATCACACGAGAATCAGCAGCCGCTCGCCGCAGTGTTGAGATCACCAAGGAAGAAAACCTCCGAAGTAAAAAATGGAATGCAATTGAAATTTCATAGGAACCTTAGGGAGGAGGACTTCGACGGGGCTGGGACTTCTCACCCTGAGATTCCCTAAGACTGCTTAGGAATCTCACAACTTCCTTGAGGTTAAGTTCCGTCGTTGCCCTCCTCCAAAAGGTTACTGTAAGAAGGCAAAGCTGGGCCAAGAAGAAGCTTGTTTGGGTTCACTGGCTCCTTTGTGCTCCTTCAGTGTCTCCAATATTTCAAACAGCACATACAAGACCTGGAACTCCATATGTGTCCAGGTCTCATCAAAGAAACCCAGGCCTGCACAAGTGCTGAGGAGAATCACAAAGCAGCAACTGCAAATGGACAGCAAATGCAGTGCAAATGGGTTCGAAGGTAGAAGAAGCACCTGTGACATATCAGAACTGGCCATCAATGCCGCTGCTGCCTCACCGCATATTGTCACAGCAGGAACCTCTCAAGACTGGAAGCAAAGCACCTTCGCATGCTCGAAGAACGGCTTCTTGACCCTAGACTCCAGCCACATGACCTCTGGTCAAAAGCTGTGTCTGGCTTATGAATCACATCTGCCAACAATGAGTTTTGCATGAATGTACATTCCCATCATGCAAATCTTTGGGCACCATGCTGTCTTGGAGTTTTTACCCCGGGTCGCAGTCAGCTTTGCTTCCACCTATAGCACACTGAAAATGCATGCAAATGCACTATGTTCGCTTTGGAGTTGCACGTGTCGTGAGCAGCTTGATCTCTCATCTTTCAAAACCCAGTGGGTAAGCAAACAAAGCTAGCCGGCTCATTGGAATGTATTTTGCTCACGACACTCTTGAAGCGTAAAAGACTGTCGACTCCTCTATGGCATTGTACCCTTTACCGTACCCCCACCAACATTGCTCCTCTAGATTGGCCCACAAACCTATCTTAGGGGACTTAGGACAGATTTCACGTGGTTGCCATGATGACCACATGTGGTGTTGCTATAGTTTGCGTGCATGCGCGAGTCTGTCATCAAAGTTCTGTGTCCTATGCCTCCCTCCATCTGGACTGCATGCAACTGCGTGTTTGCTTGTGATGTTGCGTGTGTTGGATTTGTAGGTTTTGAGCCTTGTGGGCAAGTGCATCACCACTAGTAGCTAGAAGCTACACCATTTTCGGACCTCACTCAAAAAACGTGGTCCTCCGGTATCTATTCGCAAAGCCCATCAAACGGCGGATTTAGAAGTGCAATGTATATGATCGGAGGTCCAGGCAAAACCAGTTGTTTTGCGTACATTCAATGTATGCCCAAGGCCTTTGAGGCTGCCTCATGACTTTGCCTTGCACCTAATTTGTCCATCCTAGACTCCACAGGTATTTTGTCTTTATCAGTGTCCATGCTATTTGGAGCATTTCATGAATAAGCATGACTCATGACCTTAAAGAGCAGCATGTAACAGCTAGCAGTAATCCAGGAATAGAAAGCCAAAGCAACCCGCGACATTCAAATTAGGTATAATTAGGCAACAGCATCAATATATATATATATATCATTATATATCATATATCGATATCAACTTCACAAGCCACCGTAACAAAGAAATCGATGTACTGGCGCTGACAAGCCTCCCTGGCAAGTTCAGGAGTGTCTGCGTGCCAACTCACATAGACACCGGCGACATGTTCCTCACATCTGCTTGATTCATACTCCGATTCATACTGAGCGTATTCATCAACTGCGGCACCTGTATCAGCGTACTCATCAACGTGCTCATCAAGGAGGCCAAGCATGCACTTGAGGAGATTTCGGCACAAACCTTGCAAGTGTGCAATTTCATCTATTAATATGTAAAGTTGATCCATGCTCCAAAACTCGAGAAATCTATAACTCAACTGCTCCTTCACAAACAATCATAAACTTGTTGGTGTTTCTTGAACCCGCTTAAGCCACAAACAGCAGGCCCTTTTTGAGGACCAACTTTGCGTCCGATGAGCAGCGCATCAAGCTTGGCTCTCAAATGGTCTGAATTTTTCTTGGCCATTTTGGCCTGTTCACATCAATCAGTAGATCTGTATTAACGCAATTGTCCAGATCAACTTATTCTGCGGATAGAAACTGGTTGAAGGCTGTATTACAGTAACGAAATTGTCCAGGTCGACTTACTCTGTGGATAGAAACTGGTTGAAGGGCTGTGGTATCGAAGGATCTTGAATAAGGTCGAATTCAGAGTGAAACCTATTTTGGAGATCTGTGCCATCAGGCACGATGCTACCAACTCAGCGGAATGATCAACATCGTAGCCTCGAAATCTCATTGCATTGCCCCCCAAAGGTCCACTCTGGTCCAGTGTGCTCTTGCGCTTGTTATGCCACAGGTCAATCAGAGTCCATAGGTCAACCAAGTGCGCAGCTAGCCACACAAACATAGATGGCGTGCATCTTCGCCAGGCGTGGTTGCACTTGACCTTGCACCTTTGAGACAACTGAGTTGAGTCTCAGTTTTTTTTCAAAATGCCAGTGCTTCCCGCTGGTAAGGTCTTTCAAACAATTCTCTGAGAACTGAGGATTCTCACTCAGGATTTGCATGCCTCACAGTGAGGCATCGTGACTCCACTGCTGCGTCTAGGCCTTGGCGGCCAAATTAAGTGCGTTTGGAAGCTGTGCTGCCAAGGAGCCTGGGAGTTCATGTTCAAGCAAAGCAAGCAGGTGCAAAGGAATACAAGCTGCTCCAACACCCCTCTGCTTGCCCCGACAAGGTTGTGGACAAACAAAATCTTAGCAGTCTTAGCAACTGGCAGTTTAATTTGTTCGCACAGTGCACGACACACATCATGCCCTCGCAATCTGCTCCATCGTCTTTCATTGCATCCTAAGGGTGCGAAGTGTGATGACAAGAAGGAAACACGCGAACCTTACAGCTCTGACCAGATCTTGAGATGCGCACACGAACTGCTGCATCTACAAGCGCTAGTTGATCTGCTCCTGTCTTTCGGCACTGAGTCCCGCTGCCTGTCGCAGAGCACGTTGCACCATGCTTCACCCAGGTATGCTGTGCTTGCTTATATATATATATACTGTATATATATATATATGTGTGTGTGTATGTATATATATATATCATTATATATCTACAGGAACTCGTCACGCCTCCAAACACGTCACAACCTGGCTCTTTCAATTGAAGGTGCGTAGTTAATTGACTTGAAACTCCCGCAAAATTAAGGAATTGGTTTGCAGGATTCCTGAAGTCAACTTCGCTGTTGTTTATGGCTCTTAGGGCCGCTGCCCAGCAAACACTTGCAAACAGCGGAAGGACCGCCAACGCACCTGATCAGGACAGTCAAACACAGCCAACAAGAATGGGTGCCCACAGTCAAGGCCCATGGCATCTGCATGCATCTTCCATATTTGTCACGTTCATAATGAGAGTCATTGATTCAGCACGGCGTTCATGTTACAGTGAATCAGGATGTGTCAGTTCGACTACCCCGATTTGAGTGCCCGGACTCCATTTCTTCTGCATCGGCCAAAGGAAAGGCCAGTGCCAGGAGCACCTTAAGTGAGCTGGACTCTTTATATAATGAGTTTGACTCAGACAAAGGATGTCGAAGGTTTAAGGAGGCAGCCAAACTACAAAGGTTCTGATGCATCTGTTCTCACAACCTGGGCTCAAACGTGGCGGAGGTATCTAGAGGCTTGCAAAAGCATGTAAAAGCCATCTAGCACAGCTGCTTCCGTACATGTTTTGTTTATTTCTGAGGCTCCTGCTTCCGGTGAGTTTTTCACGGAGTGATTGATTTTGCTTCGAGCCAGGATGTCGAGACAAGAAAAATAGAAAAGCAAATTGCCTTCTATGCAGTGATTTCAAAATAGTTCAGCAACGCCGTCAATCTTTGCTGGGCTCGCAATCATTTTGTACTAAGAGCCCAGCCAGCATGACCAGAAATGCCTCTGCTTCTTTGGCAGCCTCAGAGAGTTTCATGCCAGAGTCCCATACAATTTTCTTGGGGCGGGGCCAGCCTTTGGTGCTGGTTCCGCACCACCTGAGAACAATGCAGGCATTTGGGCACATTGTGCAAGCTTTGAGTTCAAGCTCACTCCACATAAATGAAACTGTGACCCGAACTACATTTTAACTTGTGACTCTTCCAATGCTCAGCCTGGCAAGGCACGCTGCACAACAACGCATCATCCACTTCACCTACTCTCTCCGAAGCCTGATGTGATCTCGAGCAATACCATACTTTTTGACATCTGCCTGATGGGATTGACATACAATAAAGCTGTGGAACCTTTACACATTCTCATCAACAAGCTACCGAGAAGCTTGCTTCTTAGGGCCCAGCCGCATTTTGAGTCTGCTTTTTGAGCACAAACTGCACACAAATGCTCGACAACCTGGAATGTTCAGACCCAAGCTGGCCCAAGGCTGATATAAAAATGCAGAGCGATCTGTGACCTGTGTGTCATGATGTTTGCATTTCAATTCGAAAGCTGTTTGGAAGTAATCGGAATCTGGACAGCTTCACTGGACCAACTGACGGAAGAGCACTGTCAAGCTGAACCTCTGCTGGTTGAGAATTTGATGGCTGCAACTCGTCCCCTTTTTGAGTGTTCTGCAGAAAATTAATCTACATTGGCATTAAAAAAGGAAACAAACGCCTTCAGAGCAAACCGTTGCAAGGCATTCCAATATTCTGGATGATGGCCAATGTTGTTGTGGCTTGCATCCTGGCATTTTGGAATACAAGGACGCAACATAGCCAACTGCACTTCCTGAAAAAATTAGAAAGCTGAACGATTCCAACAAGGGTTCTTCAAGGAAGCTTTTCCTCTTCTCCAAGCCTCTGCGTACCTTTCTCATCCTTTCTCTACAGTACTACCATTGACAAAAATAAACGTACCTCGCGGCCTACCTCGAGTTACTGCAAATAGAAATAGCCATAGCAAAAAACCCGAATGCTAACATGTGCTAACACCCAAAAGCATAATTTCTCAACGAAAAAATGTGCATCCTTCACGAGCACAAGCTCTTTCTGCCGTGATGATGTTGCTGCATGGAGGCTTTCACTCCCTTCGTACGGTACCTGCCGCATCTGCTGCTACAATAGGGTTCTCCGCCAGAATCGGGAAACCTACTGTGGTCGATACTATGTATGTGAGTATAATTTTGTTTATCCGTGTCCATGTCTCGCAGAAACTTCAAGGCTGCTCTCCCTCATCATCAAGAAGTGAGTGCACGAAGTCATCTTCGAGACCGTGGAGAAGCAGCAGCTGGCCATTGAATGCACCTCTTGATAAGCGTGCTAAATGCTACTAATGGGAGGAGGGCAGCTTGTTTGAGGCGCACCAAATATGAGAAATAACGATAAATACTTATATAATATATCATACATAGTTCCTTTTGGCAAGCACTCTAATTAGTATGAACTATATACTACTGTACAGTATTGGCTCAAGTAGCTTTGCTTTGCTCTTCCTCCAATTTTGCCCAAAGCTGTGCATTTCTGCGCTGAGGTGCTGACGAATCTTGTCTAATGCACCCAAGGTCCACAGCTCTGCATCTAACGGCTGCAGAACCTTAAAATGTCTAAGTCACCAGTCTGTGTTTCTTGCCCATCAACACTCATCAACTCCAAAGGAAGAGTTCATCCACCGGTCGCTTGTCTACGACGAGGAGCCTCCAAGTTTGCATTTTCAAGCTCCTGGTTTCTTTGGTGTGCACATGTGCCACATTGATATTATAGTTCTTTATACCAATCCTGCCAATACTGAATTCTCTTTGCTATCCACAGTCCTTGCGCCACTGCTTCAAGACTTCCAGCCTTGCCTCTCCCAAGCCTGATCACGTGAGTACTGACGTGGAGGTCAAGCTCTTGGGCTGGGCTGGGCTCTTGGCTCTTGGGTGTGTGGAACTAAGAGATTGGCGGTCACCAGTTGCAGAAGTGGCTACAGCAGAGTCCTTGGCCGAGGTGCATTGTACATGACGTACATGACAACAACACCTTCTGCAAAGGGTACTACATGCTCAAGCAGTTGTCACTGAGTGCACAACTAGAACCATTGCCCTGTAGAAGTCAATGATGTTCAGTGGGGATGACTGTATATGTCATGATCTGTGGAGGTCGAGGTGAACTCAAGGTTTGTATCTGGGCAACTACCTTGCCTGAAAAGCGATGGAAACAGCACTGCCAAGTGCACCGCCACCTGCCCAAAATGCTCCACAAAGCCTTCACTGTTACTTTTGGATATTAATATGCTTTTAGTTCAACAACAAACCATTCCAGTCAAAATCCTGTCATCGCAATGCTTTCTGTTGCCACAAAAGGCCTGTGCCCCGATGGATCTCCCTGAGAGTATCAAGCCGCCTTGGACTTTGAAACTGGTCAGTGAAGCATAGTGAAGCAATTCTTCTTTCTCTCAAAGCATCTTGCAAATAGAACAATTCTTCTTTCTAGGACATGGCCGGGGTATGGCCACGACAGCCCATGCTGCACAAAGAGCTCGGGCCTAGGAGCCAAGCTACACAAACTGTGCGAAGCTCGCCTCTCGGCGGCTGATGTGAGGGCACCACAGCTTTTCTGCCAGTGGCTCTGCCTCAAGGTGCAGGTCTCGGCAAACATTGTTTTCACAGCACATACCGTTCATGCAAATTCATGCGGCTGTAAACTCGTGCAAGCTGCACAGAGCTGCGCATTCACACTCTTATGCCTTTAAAGCTTGGAAGTGGACGTCTTTCAGGAAAGTCGCCAGCGACGGTTCTCCCCCCTGACCAGCCTGGCTGCTTTGAATGTTAGTAATCTTGCAAGTTAATGCAAGTTATAGAAAACACAAGGAAAACTAGACAGCAAACATGGCCGTCACAAACATCAAACACAGCTAGTGGCACCGTATCCTCTGTAGTCAGCCACGAGCAAATGTGCGGGGAGGTCCTGCCAATCAGAGCCATTGTCTTGGTTCGGTCCATATCAAATGCATGTCAATGTGAAGCAGTCCCGGTACTTTTCTGCCAGCTGTGGCAGCAAATAGTCGGCTGCTATCTCACCTAGTTCTAAAGCTCTGCTTCGGCGATGAGCTGCACATCAAAAGCTGGGCTCAACACCACTGCCATGAAAGTGAAGGATTACAGGTGCGTTGGGATCCTTCTGGTTCTTCAGCAAAACATACCTGGAAGTCACTAGCTGTAAGAGGACGAATTGTCATTCCGGCTGATGTGCCCCGGTCATGTCTACAATTCACTGGCACCCTATTCTGACGCCACCAGCTGGATAGGTTCCGTCTTCTGCCTTCATCCCAAAGATCATCCAACGAGCGCAAAGAATCGAAGGGAGAAGAGAATAACGGAAGATCACCGCGTAAGACAATATGTGTCAAGCACTTCTGAAAGGAATGCATTGTGTGCCTTGAAGTATCTCCAAAACATCATGTCTCAACGCGGTGAGCTTCAGAGGGCCTGCATACCATCGACGCATCCAGGCTCCGACCTTATCTCTTCGTGGAACCCCAACACACAATCATCCATAGTTCAATAGACCAATATAGACTAATCATATGCCCTGAATTGCCCTGAAATGTCTTGAAATGTCTGAGCCAAAGACAGGCGTTCTGCTTTTCGTGGCTTGAAAAGGCCCTGACCTGAAACAGCTCCTCACCCGACATTTCTTGCATGCATTTGGAAGTAGCTCCCTCTGAGATTTCAACCAAGTGTGTGCCTGAGTACACGCGTCATGCAAGAGACAGGGTCCAATCGTGTCGTGTTATGAATACCGCCTTGTCAGTGCCGTGCGCTCTGCCTGTCCAAACGAAACCAACCTTCTGCAACCATTCGAATTGAGTGCCAAAGCGACAGAAAACAGCGCCATGTGCCTGCTCCCATGCTTCCAACAAAGGGCGTAACTCTTTGGAACAAGAGCCCTGCAAGTGCACTGGGTCCAGTCAGTCCAGTGAAAGAAGACACGTGCTAGAGAAAAGGAAAACTGAAACTACTTGCTGAACAGCGCCTTGTCTTGCACTTCTGAGCCCAAGCAGAGTCGTGCAAATGCAGCAAGGGCTGCTGCTAAGGGTCCTGCCTGGAGAAATCTAAAGATGTAAAGAGTGTACTGTCCATTTTCCTCATCGACGGTGGAACATGGCAAACTTTGAAAAAGGTCACTTTGGGGTGTGTGTGCGTGTGTTTGTTTGTGTGTGTGCCTTGTTGGAGCTGCCATATTTCTTTAGTGCCTTGGCTGAGAATGTGACGTGTGGGATGAGCGGAATGCATAAAGATACTTCTCATGCAAGGCAAACACTCAATACAAAGCTCTGACACCTCTTCCGCATCCCTCAATGCGGAGCTGTAGTGGTAGAACCTTGGAGGGTCTTCTTGAAGCCGCTACAAAAAACTTGTGGACTGAATTTCCAACACCACGATACTTCAATCTATATACTATATAATTATGTACATAATGACTCTATATACAAGTATGTATATAACACTGTACAGAAGTCTGAACACCAATCGCAATCATTTCCAGGCCCGCCATGGCAAGACGTCAAATGCACGGTTGCATTCTACGAGCTTGCTACGAAAGACACATGTGTTGCAGTGTGCTTGGAACAGTGACACATTTTTACGTGTCCAATTGTGTGACTGTCTTCGAAGGAGAAACGGATCAGTACCAACCATGATTGGTAAAGCAACCCTTCCCTCCTAGTAGTAATGCCAGGAGCCACTAGTAGCGTCCTTGCTCCTAGTAGCGATGCCCTTCGTTCCTAGAAGCTTCTTGAAGTAGAGATTTCTGAGGAATCAGGAAGTACGAAATAGAAAACATTTATAAAGAAAGGTAGGGCTTTCTAGCGGACAATACATAATAGTACATAAAAGTAGTAGAGATTTCTTGAGAAAGGTCGTAAACTCCTTGAGTGCAGACAAGTACAAGATGTCTACAGAAAAATATCAAAAGTAGAGATGTCCTGCAACAAAGTTGCCACAACCTGGTCAGTACATGTGATGGAAGACATACAAACAAGACCTGGGATTTAGCAGCCTTTGTGTAGGGTGGCGGATCTACGTAAGGTGGCATTGCAGATTCTTTCGTATCAGTATAAAAATAAACAACTGTTATATAATAGGAGTGGGACAGAACCAACACAAGCTACGATTGGAAGACTGCCTTCAAATCTCACCAGAACCTATCACAAGCTGGGTCCTCGGGCTGGCACAATTGTAATTTCATCCCTCATATGATTGTCTTGAAAAGGGGGGGCTTCTACTCGTTTCCTCTAGGCAACAGCTCTCTGAGTGAGTGATCCCAGGTCCTTGCATTTCTTGAATGGGGCTCAGGCTTCCATCGGAGAAGCGCACGTGTAACGAGGAAAAGACCTTGGTTCCATGGTGTTCATCAATAATACCAAAAAACTAATGTCCCTACGGTAGGTGGAGGAATTATTCAAACCCTGAACTTCATGGCGGCCCCCCGCACCCCAAATTTCAATGATAGTAGGCTTTGCGGGGAGGTTAGGTCGAGTGGACGAAATAAATCAAACCCTGCCTGAGAAAAAAATCAAAGATGCCATCGCAACATTGAATTAGCGAGCAAGGAAGCTCGATAGATAGAATCTTACGGGAATCAATTAATTTGTCCACCTACTGCTTGTGTAGCTTTGACAACGTACTAAGTACCCCTTCGACATCCTTCGACTACTGAGAAAAAAGCTTTCACAAGGTCTTTCTTTAAGTCTTGGCATGTTCTGATCTTTACTACCGGTTGCACATTGAACGACAACTTACTTTGCTTGCGAAGGCCGCGCGTGCACGAAGCACTTCATGTCTGTTGGCATTGAGGAGTGCACCACTGGGCACTGCCGTTCTCTTCTCCAACACCTGAAAGGCTTCATCCCACCTCGGCCAGCCCATGGCCCCTAAATACATCAGCAGGTTACAACCCCGAACAATCAACTGTTTTCAATAGTTTAGAGCCTAGGCCATGAACCGTTGCTTGTGAGCCAGTTCCTCCACGCTCCGCAAGAAACCCCGAGTTTCTTCCTTCAGCAGTTGCGGCTTGAAATCAAGCAGAGACTGTCAAGTAAGGCATCTAATTAGTATTTTAGAGTATTTTCACGTTCCAACAGTTCGCTTCGTGCTCTGCGTAGGAAAAGAATCTCACACCGCCTTCCCCTCCAGCTCCGCTGCTCGCTTCACTTCTTCCTCCTCCTTCAGAAGTGCAGTGTGGCTAGAAGTTCCAGGAGCGCTAAAAGCAAGACATGGTCATCCTCCCCATCCCCACCTTTTTTTGTCGAAGGTAAGCAGGGCTGTCCGAGAAGGTGTACGGACACTCCTGTCAAAGTGGACCAACTCTGGGCCAAATTGTTTCAGCCTGTGCCAAGCCGCCACCTCTTCTAATGGGTTTTCAGTGATCAAAGCTCCTGGCTTTCAAGATGTGTAGGTCAGCCAAACAAAATCCAAAAATTGAAAGGAACATTGAACACATGACAACATATTGACAACACATGAGCAGCAAGGCCCTTTTGTGACGGGATGAACTTTCGAGGAGCGGCCTCTGCGCTCAAGAATCAAAGCATTCAACTTCGATTCGTGCTAGCAAAACTTCAAGCAAGGTGTTAAGTTGTTTGCCTTCTTCTTCTGGCCAGCGTTTGCTTGTTGCCCCATGCTCCGGGGTAAAATAGCAAGCGAACTGGCAGGACAGAAATGATTTGGTTCCAACATCAAATCAAAGTTTACGTTTATGTACGACTATTTTTCTTGAGTTTATACAATGCTGCATAAAGCTCAAGCTGCTGCGAGGGATAGTATCAGATTGGAAAGCTGACGCAAGCTGGCTACTCATTCTGCATCATTCTGCTCTTGACAATCCAAGCAAGGACCACTCTTCCGCCATGGCTATGGTCAAAGCGACTTGACTGGCGGTCAAAATTACAGTTAGTATTTGTTTAGCCCAATGCTAATTTTTCAATTGGGTTGCCTGTTCATCGGTTTTTGGATGTTTTCAGTGTTTCGAATGTTTGTCTCACAATCAGTCTCATTAGTAGGGCTGTCCGGATAACTCAACACTCCTTGTATAATTTGCCGATTGCTCATTTGAAGGTGCTTCAGGGAGGGTCAGCAAGTTCTCACAAGCGCACTTTTGTAATGCCGTTTCAACGCCAGTGTCTGCTCCACAGTGCATAACAAGACAAGACCTTGGTCTGTGATCACCGACGAAGCCTAGATATCAAAGACCAGAAACAATGATTCGTAATTGCATTGGCATTGATGGATCTGCACTCTTTTCACTCCTGGTTGAACCACCAGGCTGTAGTTCATGTGGTCAGAAACGTTGTAGCAAGCTTGAGCAGTTGAGCTGGTTGAATGTGATTGGGCTGCTGAGTTGAATCATGCTCTATCAAGCTGAACCAACAAACTGACAAATCGACGACATGGTTCAAGAAAGAGTTGCGTTGTCAGCGCCCTTTTGCAATGTGGCTACGCTGGACCCCAAAGCGTGCATTGGGCGGCTGGTTCCCACCCCGAATGACTGCAGCATCAAATGCAGTCAAAGCTCCCCTCCAACCTACCCACACAGCCTTGTCAGGGCTTTCATTGTAGTTCAAGGATGGACAAAATTTGTGCCAGTGTAGTAGTGTATGTGTGTGTGTGTGTGTTGCAACAAGTGTACCACTAAAATGATATCAGCACAATAAAACATATCTGTTTCAGATTGCTCTAGCTGCACGAGTCATCGTCAAACAGGAAATCTTTTTGGAAGCAAGAGCTGAGCTGAGTGTTTCGCTATCAGTGTTCATCGTATGTCATACTACAGTGTGAGAGTCTTTATGAGAGTTCCCAGCATAGCTCTATCGTTTTGATACATGTGTTGACAAGACTGTTTGGGTTGAGCCTCTCAATTTCTTGAGATACTGCGGCCAGTGCGTGGCTGCTTTCAGCTCATTTTTGTCCCCGGACTCCCCCACGGGCTCTTCCTCGTCCACGGCCCTTAGGCCCCTTTGATCCTTTCGCGCCTTTGGCCGACCTTATGCTGAGGTTTTGAATGACCAACACGCTCCGGTAGCAAAAGTGTGGGAGAGCAAAAAACGAAAACCCTCAAGGAACTCAGTAGCTGACTTCCCTTTTGCCTTAGCCTTAGCCTTGGCCACCTGTCGCACCTGTGCAAAGTCTGAGCTGCATGCAATGCAAATTTCCTCCATCTTCACTTGAACAGCTTTGACCAAAAGCCCAACTGCCACAGCGCCTTCTTTGCAAAGAATGCTTTTGCCCTCAGCTCAAGCAAATAAACAACTGAAAATATTGTTTCTCATATATACATACGTATCTACGTGTTTACAAAGTTTACAGAGAAAACACATGTAATATATATATATATGTATATATATACACACTGATGATTAACATATGTTGATGTAGTGTGCTGCAGCATGGACCCACCTGGGCTTCACTGATTCTTCTGCTCCACCATCATTCTCAGCAGGTGATTTGCCTTCAAACAAAGCTATTGCAAAAGGTATCGGTAAACACATTGACATGGCAATCCAAGAAGTGCTGCAAAGGAACCGGATTTGCTTGCAAGGCGTTCTAGGCCAGGAGGGGGTGGTGGCTTCTTCTGGTGTTGCAATGCTCTCTGCTTTGGAAAGAAATGCAAATGACATCAAATAACTCTTTTCTTATGAGGTCTTTCGATAATTTCACTGACACTATGTCCAATCAGTCAGATTCGATCATACTGCAGCAAAACAGTGAGCCATTAGTCTTGAACTTGTCTCAGCCCACCGGCACGATGTCATCGAAAAGGCCAGGAAATTCAGCAATAGTTTTCAGAAGTTGGCGCTCCTGGACAACCACAACTGGTAGGATCTCAGAAATGCTTAGGCCGAGCAATACACGGGAATTCCTGCATTTCAGCAAGTGCTGCTGAAGATATTTGCCCAGGGGAAATCGTCGGCGTGGACATAGGAGTGGTACTGCGCAAATTCAGATTTGAAGGCTGGGGGAGATTGCTGTTTCGCAAATTCTTGCCTAGCGATCTTCGACCTCTTGGATGAAGACCTCAGTATCATCCAGTTCGACGACAACGTTGTCCCAACATGTCCCAACTGTCTTGATAATCCATGGCATCCCTAAGGACATCTCTGCGAGGATTGGTCGCATGGGCCACTGTTGAACCAGAAGCTAAACTAAGTCTGCGACACCAATGCAGCCGCAGCACGCTTCTGGGCTGCTTTCTCCTGCTTTCCAATCCATGAGTCTCATTGCGAATCAAAGGTATAGTATAGTGTAGTAAGTGTACAGAATTGGAGAGCAAATCAGACCTCTGCCACTGCAGATTTTGCTCTCATCTCCAAGTTTGACAACCTGTGCAATGCAAGCCAAAAGCGCGCCATACTTCAACCCACTTCATTCAGTTGGATGCAGTGCATACATTGACTGTGGCTCAAGCTCAGTTTGAATTGCATTGAGATCTGCTTCCCACATCTCCTCAAAATGAAAAAAAATACTTTAGGCTTTCAGATTCAGATCCTTTCAATCCTTTCCTATTGCCATTGTCATCCAGCTTTCGAACCAAAAGGTCAGTTTATTCAGCGTTTCATAGTTTCATATGTGGCTTCTCCTCTGGAGCAGTGCACTCGAGCTCCTCCAGCTCAGCCTGCAAAGGGTGGGTGCTGGAAAGAAGTAGAGCGGAAAGGAAGAGGAGGAGCTCGTATAGCTCGCTCAGTCGCTCGTATAGCTCGCTCTGCAACCATTCGTGCATGCTCGGTCCTGCTTCTCTTTGAGCTGTGCCAGCAAAGTTGCGACCCTTTCGGCTGTGAGAGACCTGAGAGGTCGAAGAATCGAATATTTGCAACTTCTTCGTGAATCGAGAAGATAGTGTGAGACCTGTGAGGCCTTGACCATAAAGGCATTCCCAGCAGGTACTCCCAACCCCGTCCCTGAGCTCCTTCCACGTGTTCTCCTCAGAGAATGCTACACCAATCAAATGTATCCGTATCAATGTCAGTCCCTTGTATTGACGTATGGGATCAAGACCTTATTGTTTCTCATTACAAGATCGGGAGCTTTGCCACTCACATGCTCGTAACTCATACCATAATCGCCTGTTGACTCTCAACTGGTGCGCACTCTGCCTGCCTTCAGTGATTTCCTGCAGAGTCTTAAAGCCATGCTTCCGAAGATCCTCTGGAAATAGGAACAGTCGGGGAAGCTCGCTCATTCTACTAGGGAAAACTTTGTCCTCGATCAACGAGTCTTTCTTGCGGTTTTTTCACCTTCAACTTCTCATCGATGACCTTTCATGGTGCCCAAGAATAAAACAAATCATCAGAAAAAATGCACTGATTGCAGCTCAGTATGGTGTTTCGCGATGTAGTTTGGAACGTGATAACAGTATTGCATGAACACCGGTTTACAAAAGAATGTGTGCTTCTTTCGTGAAAATCAAATTGGGTCGCCTCTTGAACAAACCGAGCTTTGGCTGCCAAAACCTCCGCCTGGATCCTCTGAAGCCAAATGAAAAATGGACTGATTTGATCCGTCCCAGGAACAAGGGCATCGCTACTAGTAGCAAAGGGCATCGCTACAAGGAGCAAGGACGCTACTAGTAGCTCCTGGCCTTACTACTAGGAACACATTGTCAAGCAAAGTCTTCGAGAACAAGCACCAAGGCATCAACTGCAAGACTCTCACCAAGTGAGCTTTCCTTTTGTGATAATACCTCCAGCGAGAATGGGTGAAGAAAGAAAGGTATGGACAAAAAAACACACACACATACAAAAAGTGGTTGCCTCAATTTTGTCCAGAACTCTATGTGGCAAAAATACAGATTACTGCAGCAATTGTGCCACCCTTGGACAATCTGAGATTCAGTACTCAAGGCGAAGCTCAGCGAATTCCTCGATGATCTGTCTTTCGTCAGCATATTTCCTGAGTTCTTTCCAGCCGAGTGTGCTGTTAACAAGGTCAGGGCCCTTCCCTTCTTTCTTTTTCCACTCTCGCACAGCTCCAAAAGATCTCAAAAGGGCCCCGCACTTGATCTTGCCATCTTTGTCAAAGAACATCCTCAGCCCGACAACTTTCTGAAGGTCAAGAAAAGGGGGCATGGTGGTTTGCAGTCAATGGCTGCCTCTCTCCGCTGTCCGGCACTACTACAGTCAACAAATGCATGTCTTCAAGGAGGTGACATGTTGTTTGTGGATAGCGAGCTGCGCAACTTGAAGGACTTCTCCAGTCCTTCCAAAATGTACACAAAAGAACAGGACACTTGGCAACTTTAAACTAGGTCCTATGTACTCATGTGCTGCCATTTGCTCCTGGCGCCGACTCGGCTCAAATCAATGTGACTCATGAAGTTGGGGCTCAATCTGACTCGGCTCCTCCGTTACGGAGATAGTGAAGTGAACAGTCGCCTGCGCCGAAGGAACAAGGTACAATCCGAGTACCAAAACTTGTGAACCGGGCCTCTGTGTGCCACTCCTTCAGGCAACCAATGATCAAAATAATGAGAAGTATCGCAAAGTACCAAAAAGAAGTTCTGCACGCATGAGCTTCAACCAGCTTCTCACGCATGCGCGGCAAGTCCTTGAAGTCCTCAATTTGTCCACTGCCAGGCCCTTCTGTCGACAACATTGCCTCGGCGACACGCTGCAAAGGCGTGAGCGTTGCCTCCCTCACTCACTGGCTCACTCACACACTCCTCACTTGGGCTGCCAAAAGGGAATCCAGCCTGCAAAACGGCCACCTTGTAGTCCTTGGCCCACTGGTTTACTCAATTCACGCATTGTGACTTGTGCACAGAGTGACGTGTCCTCGGTCCATTTCTTGATCGGAAGCTCAGTGATTTCCAAGGTTGTAGGGCCCAGCCTTGGCTTTCCAAGGTTCAGCTGTTCAGCTGCGATGAACATTTGAGCCCTCAACTTCTCTATCACCCCCACGGACTCATAGCCCAACTTTTCTGGCGACCTCGATCATAACGCAAATCATTCTTTCCAGCCCCGACATTGCCTTTCGCCGTTGATGTTGAAAGCCAAAATGACTCCGGCACCCAAAGACTTCTGCACAGTGCTGGCCAAATCTGACTGTCACTTCCTCACTTCAAACGCTCAAATCTGAGTGTCAACAATACGAGGCTGCCTTTAAAGCCAGCGTACCATGGACACATTTCCTGGACTGTCCAGAAGCACTCCAAAAGAACGAACGAAATAAAGTGATGTATATATAATAAGTAAAAAAAACTACTTTCAGAAGCTGTTTGAGAGGCTACTTGCGTGAGGCTCATGATGCTCATGCCATATTGGTGAGTACACAAAAGGATATATATACAAATGCAATTAGGGAGACTCCGAAATAAGAAGGGAGGGAGGACAGTTCTACTATATACCCAATTGATCCAAATGGTACAATCACCATGATTTGTTATTTTGTAGTGTGCTTAGGGACAACTGTATGAGAACATCTGCTCAAAATTCAGGTGGTATCAGCAGTCGTAGAAGGAAACGCTTGCTGTAACTCCAACCTGCACAGGTTCGCATCGAATGTACCTGCACAACGTGCATGTCATTGCAAGCCCAAGATTTAGCTCGACTGGGGCGCTGTGCGTGCAGCAGCTTGCCTCTTGAGGTTCGCTATGATGTCGCGCGGGTGGTAATTTGGCAGGAAGGTAGACCAACCAGTTCCAATGCCTGTGCTTCTCGCTATGGCTGCTATTTTTGAGTCAATGAAAAAGACAGCTGAGCTAATTTTGTGCATGCCTTCAGCGCCATTGATCAGAACGGTGGGAATTACAGGAATGTACCTCAAGGTCTAATGACCAGTTCGCCAGAAAACCCAACACTTGTTTGGGAAGTTCACTATGGCGGCCATGGCTGTGGCTGACCATTTGGGTTCAATGCGCTGCCCTTCTTCGACCTGTGAGCATCTCATCAAAGTGCGAAAACAGCCACAAGGCAAGGCATCATGACCTGAACATCAAGCAGGGCATCATCTGCAGGATGAAAGATGAGCCTGGAGATCCTGGCGAGTATGTTCAGCGCCACAGCAAAGCACTAGTGCCAGAACGAAAAGAACACGAGCAGCCTTTCTAGCCGAGTGTAAATGTAGCGAGCGCTTGCAGCATCTTTACCTCATTGCAAATTGGAAAACTGCTGTCAGTTGCGTTAACTAAGCCTTGCAAAACTTAGGACTCGGCCACCTTGAATTCGAGTGCCAAACTGCCCCGCGGGGAACAACAAATTCACATTGTTGGAGCCAACCTTTGCACGCAAAACAGACTCAAGACTGGTCAGCATAGGTGCAACATGGTGCAACTCAGCCCAGCAGCAAAATTCTGTGCAAGGCCAACAATGGCACCTGGCAATTGCTGTTTGAAGCTTTTGGCGACATGTGACAATCTGTTCAGCCTTGAAGGGACATCTCGCCATGATGGTAGGCAGCATTTTCAGAGACATATCCTTCATCAAACCGTTGTAAATAAATGCTGTGAGTGTGCTGCAACAGCGCTTACATGGTATACACAGTATACACACTTGTTGACTTATCCTAGCAAGGGCTGGAAGTCCTGCAAATTGAGCGACTTTGGTGTCCTTGGCCATCTGCTGTGACAAGTTTCCAAGCGAATGACTGTTGAAGATATTAGCCTGTCAAAATTTGAAGCCGGTGGACAAGGCTGGGTCGCCAACGTGGTTGAGGTTGCGCTTGAATGCCGCCCACATAATCTTCCTCTGTACTGGCTTGAAGCCGTCAACCAACGATGGAATTGCACGAAGAACCTGGCATCACAGGCCGCATGGCTTCAATGATAAATATATATATATAAATCAAATGCATTACAGTACAAGTTTGGTACGTGCCAGGTGTGCATCATACTTTGCAAACTGCACAAGCTCTTTATTGATGAAGTCGGTGTAGCCCACAGAATCCTGGCCCCGTGAACAGCACCAAGCATTTCTTTGAGATTCACTTTATTTCCTGTGTGAAAGGTCCTTTGAGTGGTCCACATATTCCTCATCGTCTGCGTCGTTGATCCATTCCTGACAAGGGTCTGCTCTTGCACAAGTTCTGTGATCCTCCTTGCACACTGCAGGTCCTTGCGGTCGTCAGCTCGCTTTTTATTGAAGGCCATGTCAAAGGATTCATCATCTTGTTGGCCATTGTACTGAAAGGACAGGCTGTGCTCCTCCAAAATGTACTTAAAAGTTTGGCAAATCAGTCAATGCAGGGCTTCTACACTTTTCCGTGAAATCTCAACAGGATGACCGTTTACACTTGCTGTATCAGGGAACTTTGGACTAAGCTACTGGCGTTGATGTTGCTGAAGTACTCTTTGGCTTCTGCAGTCGTAGATGTGCCAAGCCCTGAGCATGCAAAGCACGCTTTTGCGAGACTTACGCATGAAACAAAACAACGCGCTGGGCCTTTGTAGTACTTCAAGTGCCATCCTCTGCCGTTGTGGTTCTGAGCCTTCCACTGCTCGTACTCCTTGGAAAGTACATCAATCAACAAACTTGCATGAGGATGGCTCTTGGGAAGCCCCCTTTGTAGGTGCTCCGCTTGCATAGTGAAGAATTGCTGGGTTGAACCACGACGGGTTGCCTTGACCTGACTCGAAGCGAAAGTGAAGGAGACAAAGCCTTCAATAGCTTTGCCCCCGACGATCGGGGTCACAAACTCTGTCATGAAGCCAGGCAGTCGGAATAGCGATGGCCACCTTTTCGAGACTCCAAATGACTCAAATGATTGCAAACGATGTCAAAGGATTGCCTGGGGCCAAGGCCAGTGCTGAATGAAATTTAGAATAAGGCCTTTCATGTGCGAACCATCATAATCTTGGTCTGTCATCACCTCAGCCGAAAGCAATCATCCAGCCAAATGCTGCGAGGGGCCTCAAAAAACCTTTGGATGAGATCGGCAACCGCACGAAGAGCTGAACATCCTCTGAAGGAGAAAAAACCAAAGGAAATACAGTACCAACTACCAACAGGAACCAAAAAGGATGGGCCGCGACTGTAAGCACGGACTTCATCATAGTCACATGCCAAACCAATGAGGTGGGATTAAATATAGTAAATAAAAATAAATAGCTGGACAATGCCTGGGAATAGCTGGACAATGCCTGGGACTGCTATTTCTGCATCTGGAGCACCATGATGGAGCCGTAGCGCAAAGAATTCGCTGAGTGGTACTCTTTCTTCGGCCTGACCCCGAGACTGACTGCACAGCAAGATCGACAATATCCAAAAATAGCATCAAAGCAATCATCAAAGTCTATTTATCCGAAGTTTGGCCAGGATACTCCAGCCCAATGATTTTTGTGATGTTTGCAATCTCAGCATTACCTGCGCGTGCGTGCGTACGTGTGTGTGTGTGTGATGATGTCATGGGCAATAGGTGGTCAACATACAGGTGGACTGAGGCACGAGGCTCATAGTCTGCGCAAATGTGGCATCACGCACCTGGATAGTAGCATGTCGTGTATTTAGCAAGAGTAGCGGATGTCGCTCCAATGATTGGTGCATCAAGTCTTGCAGCCATACCAAGCACCTTGGAACCCCTCCTCTACGAGTCCTCCACATGTCCAAATTCAACAAGGTCGGCCTTTAACTTCACAACTTTAGATCCCAAAGAGGTATGCGGTATTAGTAAATTTCAAGCAGGTGTAGCATCTGCTAAACATCTCTGTTTCCACCATAGTGGTCCAATGCACTTTCGGGGATCAATTGCACTGAAGATCTCACTGAAGTATGTTGCTTAGATGTTCAATTCGCATCTGCTTCGCTCTGAGGTGCATTGAGAATCTTCCCACGGAGAGGGAACACCCCATAGCGGTCACGCCCGATGACCTCAGAATTGATCTTTCGGGGCATGGCGACAAATAGTCAGCATCTGAGAGAAGGACACCCAGGCCAGCAACAGCCAAAGATTTTGCGCTGTCTCCCTGGCGTGAGGTTCACTTGACTTTGCATAGAAACAAACAAACTAAAGTGACCTCAGTGAGGATCAATGTGCACTCACGGCCTGATTTGCTTCACGCAACGCATTCGGTGAACTCGAAGCTCAATTGAAAAAGGCTTCTTCCCCCACAATGCAGAAGACATGTTGTGATGTGTTGTGCATTTGAATAAGTAGCGGCCGTGTCTTGAAGCACGTCTGCTGTCAAATCGTCAGTTGAGTCCACAGCCATCTCTGCCGCCTGCAAGGTTGGCATCCTGGGGACGGTCGCATTTGGCCGCGCAGCTGGGCCAAGTCACACATGCCGGGGGCGAGTTGCAGCAGAAATAACAACAGCAACAGCTTGTGGAAAAAAGCTCCCTTGACAGTCTCCAGGGGCAATTCTAGGATTTTGCACTGCTGGCAACTGGCTTGGAGGCCCTTCTCTCACAGGTGCACTCTTGGCAGCTACAGGCTTCTGCGGGACGTATCCTCCAATCCGTCTTCATGCTTCACTAAATCGCACTGCGGCGTATCCCTCAGACATAACTTGGATTCTCCTCCGTCTCTTGCCCTTCGCAAAATTGCTTTGGTTATCAACACACAAAGGAGGCAATGTAGTATCTATCGTGTTTGCCTGCTGCCATGCACAAGTGTGCGAGACCGCAAAGTGGCACCAGGAGTCGCCATGTAGAAAACAAACCTACACTGTACACCTTGACCATGATGATACACCCTGGAAGATTCACATCGATTCACATCGAACCTGAAAATGGACCTTCGGAATCCTTTGGATGACGATTTCCCCCTACAACTTAGTGGTTTTCAGGTGCCACGTTGATCATCCTGGGCATAAATCTTGGATTCGTTAGTGTTGGCCTGCAAAAAGGACCTTTTGTAGCATGCAGCTAGCAGCTGTAGAAATCAAAGCACTGGCCTTATCCGAGTAAAGCATCTTCATGACCTCTTCTTTCAACACTTTAACGTTTACGAACACAAAGCAGCTAGATCAGAGAATAGACACCAAAAGCCACTTTGCATAATCTCAAGGCTATTGTTGCTTGTGCGTGGCATTGTGCAAACATCTAGTTCGAAGCTTGATGACACATTGATAAGCAATGTCCTCCAGCTTGGGAATGTTGAGAAGCCGCTTTGTCTTCTTGTTGGGTGCACTGGAGCCACCTGGTAGCCAATAGCAATTTGCAGTTGTCTAATCGTTGCAAGTGCGAAGGTGTTAAGTTTCCCAAAAATCTAGGAACCAAATCATTAGTGGGAGCGCTTCTTCGAGGAAGCTCCCCCCCGCCCTCAGACGACGCGGGCTTCCTTGAAGAAGCGTGAGCTATCCTGCGTCCTGGGGAGTAGCTTAAGTAGCTAGTAGCTAGCTAGTCTCTACTACCTACCTCTTCTCGGTCTACACCCCCTGGGCTTTGAAAAAAAAAGGAGCAATTAATGAAGGCCCCCTTTAAAGGGGCCTTACCTTCCTCTGTTCATCTCCCTTGTTCTTCTTTAAACCTCTACAACACTGCAGCAGGCACCCTTCATCGTCTTCCCGAGATCTATCTCCTCCTTTGCTCTGGCCCATTGCAAGACCATGTCAACCTGTGAAAGCAACATAACATGAAAAAGTGCCATTGATTCAGTTTTGAGAAACTGGGTTTGCGGCAATACCCGTTTTGAGGACTTTCTCGATCATCTTGTCAGGTATGTGGCAGCTGGACCTGCGGCTGCCACACGATGGCACACAGGGAGACATCAAATCTGACTGAAATAAGGAGGCGATGCCAATGCCAGTGAAGTGAAATGGCGCACCCAAACTTTGCTGCTTTCAACGTCAGTGTTTCTTTTGTCTGTGAGTCGAAGGAAGGGTTCTCGATCTGCGCATTCACAAAAATCCACAGGTAGTTTCTCACGTGGTACCTCTCGCACTCAAGCATGCTGTTTGTAGCACATCATAAGGCCCTCATTCAAGATCCGAAGTTGGGCCAGGGGCACGGCTTGATCTCCTGAACAACGATCGTCAATTCGCAAGTTATCACACAAACTGAACTGAGCTCATGGCCATGCCGCCCTTGTTTTGCTTGTTCACCTTGTACGTAATAGCCTCACCAAACGAATGCACCAAACTGCTTGCGGTAAGCAATCAGGATCTAACAGTCACAACCTGGAAAGCATCGAACCACATAATGTGTATCACCCCAAACGACCAAATCCCGCTGCAGGGCCCATTGCTGCATCCGGCGTGTGGGCTTTTTTACATTGTGCTTCAATTGAGTACAATGCAGGTGAGCTGCTGAAGTGGCCGCCGTGGCAATAAGGCCGTGAATGACATGTTTTCGAGTTTCAGCGGCCCATACTGGGGACTGGAGGACAAGGATTCTAGCAGATTCCAACCAAATGGTACTAGTAGCGCCACTTGGCCTCCAGAGAGATGTCGGGCAAAGAAGGCAAAGTGCAAGATATGATTGTGTGCCCCTATGCTTCTGAGTGCCACTGGAGGATGGTGCGCATTTCTTAAAAGTCACGTGGATCTAGATATGTACCACTTTTCTTTGACTGTGCTTTTCAAGCTGGAGGCGCGAGTGCTCTCAATGTTTCACCGGCATACCTGCACCTGCACAGTCATTTTCGAACGGTGGCTTTGATTCAAGGTTGATTCATTCCGCCATGCATTCATTATTCATTGGGCTGTTTTGGAGCCAAGTCCTGATTGTGATTGGCTTGTGTGACTTGCTTGTAACTGCTTGTAAGAAGACCGAAGACCCAAAATTCTCGGTCCGACGTTGGCAGGACATCAGGTACAGTGAAAAGAGAATGGACAATGCCCTGTACATCCCGTGAACGTGTCTTTTCACGGCTACAGTGAGCGACTTGGCTGAGGCAGAAGAGTCAAACAATAAAATCCTTCTTTGGAGGCACGATGAACCTTACAGTCCAGAGCCACTCTTCGGTTGTAGACCCATGCTTATTGTGTTGGCTGTGCACTGATTCTACTATATTCTGGCTGCACACCAGGCCATCACATTGGCCCGAGCTGCATCCTACAATGTCCACATTGTTGCCTTCCTTCTTGTGTGTTCAGAGTAGCTGTGAGTCTTGCACACATTTGAGAAAGTAAACATCTGGAATGTGGAACACAAATCCTACTAGCTCACAAGGAAAACGCTGGAACGGACCCCAGTTCATCGAATCCGCGGATCATCCGCATCATTTGGCATGTGTCTACAATTGACTCAGATTGAAGCAAGGGGATGGCGAAACATGCTGCTCAATTGGGGATTGTCAGCAGCCCAATCGATTGTTGTCCATAGTGTTTGCTCCACCTTAATGTTGGTCCGAGCCAATGGATTGAATTGATCTGATGCAAAAGCATAGTTCAAACATTGAGGAACAAGCCACAGCCGGCCTCCACTAGTTGGTCAGCCACATGGACAACCTTATCTGGAGCACTGCTTGCATCTTCACAGAACATACGAGTCTTTCGGTCTTTGAAACCCAGAACCCGGACTAGCCATCATGTGCCCAAAACGGTGTTTCACACACTTGCGGCACAGAAAGCTGAACTTTACCAGGCGGATGCCAACTGTGGCTTTCACATGAGTGCCACCCTTCGGTGTGGCAATGTTGTTGACAAAGGACACCTCGCGGAACAGAACACACATAGTAACAAGTGCATCGCTACTGGTAACAAGAAGCTACTAGGTTGGAGGCCATCGCGATTAGGTTGGAGGC